TGGGGGAACTATCCCTTTAACTGAACATTTTATAACTTTGGTGGAGAATGACTTAGCAGAAATTATTTTATGTTACAGCACACACAAATACACCCATAAATGTATATGCACACAACACAAGTAGTGTATTTTTAATGCCAAGCTCCAAATCGGTATTCAGGAGCAGCTTTTTCTGTATTGTTCACCCAGAATCCTTCTATTAAACTTTTCAATAATTAATCCAGCCTTAGCCCATTCAGGCATGTTTAGATGAGACTGGAATTAACATTTGCTCTTGTACTTGTGCTTTATTGCTGCAGTTACCAGATCTTACTGCTCTAGTTCCGGCCAGTGTGGCAAAACTTAAGCTGACTTGCTCAAATCCACCTCTGGCATACAGAATATGATGGTTCGCAATTCTGTCTACTCCACTTTTGATAGTTGCTACTGCACCTGCAATACATCCTCCTCTCAGTCCTGTCCTGTGAGTCGGAGCATAAACTGTTGAGCTGTTTTAACTCTCATGGGTCAAATTCCCTCAATTGTTTGAGTTATGAACACTACCATTCAAAAGTTTATTTAATTAACATTTTAACATTAGTCAATACTCAGTTTCCTGAGCAGCAAATCAGCATATTAGAATGATTTCTGAAGGGTCATACACTGGAAGACTGGAGTGATGGCTGCTTAAAATTCAGCTTCGAATCACAAAAATAAAGTACATTTTAAAATATATTAAAATAGAAACATCTATTTTAAATAGTAATAATATTTCAAAATTGTACTGTTTTTGATGCAGCCTCAAGACCCTTCAAAAACATTTAAAAATTTTACAGACCCCAAACTTTGCAACAGTAGTGAATACCGTTATTATTATTTTACTTTATATGAATAATATAACACTGAGTAAAAAGTATGTTGTCCCACCACAGTGACTGAAAATTCATAAAAAGGAGGAAAAGAGAATCAAGTCCAGTCTGGTAAACAGTGGCAGCTGCAGGTAGGCGAACTTGTCCAGTGTTGCTTTCTTAATGTCATGTTGGAATATGGTAATGTGATTGACTATGCATGAGGAAAACTTCTGCGTTCTTCAGACAAAGCAACTGTTGTGCCTGTGAATTAATTGGCTTCCGAATGCAGATGAGTTTTATTACAGAGAAACCATGATTAATGTTCTTTTACAGATGTCACCCTGAAAAACAACTGCTGTCCAAATAGAACTATACTGTAATTCATGTGAATATCTAAACCAATAAAATGCATGAATATGTGAAAACTGTGATATACTGTTAAACACTCAATCCAGTGTGACATACAAGGCCAACTAGTATCACTCTCTCAGCCATTTCCCTCCTCTTTTCAGCTTTCAGTTCTTTAATTTGCACTGAAAAATAGTCGTTTGCAAGTCTACAACACTTTCTTTACACCCCACTGAATAGACCAATATACAAAAGCAAAACTTTTCCAAAACTACTGCGCTGACAGCATTTAAGAGCATCACAGACACACCAGCATTATACACTCTCAAAAAAAAAAGGTACAAAAGCTGTCACTGGGGCAGTACCTTTTTGAAAGGTACACTTTTGTACGTTTTAGGTACTAATATGAACACTTGAGGTACTAATATGTTCCTTTAAGGTACCAATATGGACCATTTAGGTACAAAGGTGTATCTTTTGAAAAGGTACCGCCCCAGTGATAGCTTTTGTACCTTTTTTGTGTATGCAAGGCTGTAACCACCATATAAACAGATATGGCCAAACTGCTCCAAATATTTGACAAAATTTTTGTCACACTTTATATTAAGTGGCCTGAACTACTATGTACTTACATCAAAAATAAGTACAATGTACTTATTGTCTTCATATTCTATTGCAAAAGATTGCTGCTATTGAGGTGAGATGTGGGTAAGATTAGGGACAGGTTTGGTGGTAAGGGTAGGTTTAAGGGTGGGTTAAGGTGTAAGGGGATGGGTCAACAGTGTAATTATAAATGTAATTACAGAAATTAATTCCAGATATAATTACATGCAGATCTTTTTCAAATATAAGTACAATGTAAAAACATGTATGTACACAATAAGTG